GAGTGGCAGAGTGAGACTCCAACTCAAAAAAAAAATTTTTTTTTTACAGTGACTGATCAATTTGACCAAAGCATTAAAACTGAAACGAAATCATGCATAAATGAAAATCCCTTATAGCTTAATCTTTCTTGGTTGCTGTATCTCATAGCATGTAAGCCTGTGTTATGGATGTACACAACAGAGTGTTCATTGTTGCATTGTTGGAAATGGCAAACTGCATTCATAAGTTGTATTGAGAAAATACTTTATGACTTACCTTTTCAGTAGAACACTGCAGGATGAGGTAAGAGAAGGTAAGTTTATAATTATTGGCATTGGCAGATACCCAGGATATGCTTGGAAACTTGAACGGAAACAGGATTTTGTATGGTTGTGTGTATATGCATGTGGTGTGCATGTGAACATATGTGTATCTATACGGTCTTGTTACTGCCTTTAAAGAGGGTAGTACAGTATTTTTTTTGTTTTACGTTTCTCTTTTTGTAATGTTTTTAAAACCTTTACTTGGAATATATTCTAAACAACCAGAAAGGATGGAAGAATAATACAAAAAAATCCCCAAATATCTTTGAGGTCTCTAATGTGATTGCCGTCAGACCTGTTCATTCCCACGTCTAGTGCCTGAGGTGAGAGAATGCCACAATTTTGGTTCTTCAGGCATGTGGCCTCTTTAGCATAGTGACTTCACGGTCGACATTACATGGTAGCGCAAAGCTATTATCTTGGGAAGAGCCAGAATAATATGTCCTTTTCTAATCTAGCCTTGGAAATTATAATGTAACTTCTGCCTCCGTTACTAATAGTTCGCTGGGCCAGCCACAAAAGCCTATCCATGATCAGGGAGAAAGTAAAAGAATTTGTCAATGTTTGAAGACCATTATGCATTGATACAGTAATATTTCCTGATCTACAGAGTTTATTAAAATCTCAAAGTCCTATAAAATGTTTATAGCCTTTTCTATTTTAGGATCCAATCTATAAAATGTATTGTGCCCTGCATTTAATTGTCATGTTTATTTGGCCTTTAATCTGTATTAGTTCACAGCTTTTTTTTTTTTTTTTTTTCATGAAATGGGTATTTCTGAAGAGTACAGGCCAGTTATTTTGCAGAACATCCCTAAGTTTAGGTTTGATGCGTCATGATTAAATTCAAGTTAAATGTTCGTGGCCTGAGTACTACACAAATGATACATACTTCTTAGTGCATCACAACAAACACGTTGCGTTTGTTTTGTTGGTAATGTTAGGGGTTTTTTCATGTATATTTTTTATTTTAAAATTGTGGGGTGCAGTTAAGGGTTAGGTATACAAATATGCATTGTGTAGGTACCCTTGTTGATAAGGTGTGTCATCTTTCCCCCCTACCCCGTCCCCAGACAGATAGTGACTATGGTTAATCCCACCTCCCTGCCCCCCCCATAGTTTCCCACCACTGTCAATCCTTTTCTTATGGTATCACGATAGTTGTTCAAGGTCCACTTATGAGTGAGAACATGTGATACTCAGGTCTTTGTTTCTGTGAGAGATCACTTAATTACTAATTTCAAATGCAAAACAATTTTACAGTGAGTAAACTGGCAGGCACCGGTTTATTCAAGTGTTAAAAACTAACATCAGCCTCCACCTTGGTGATGTTAGTTTTTATCACTTGAATAAACCAGTCCTGCCAGTTTATTCATTGTAAAATTGTTTTGCATTTGAAATTAGTAATTTGTGGGGAGATCTTTGGGACTGTGCAACTACCTCATTAGTCTTTCACCTAATTTTAGTGATCATTGATGATTCTTTTCTGAATCCGTGATTACTGTGTGATTGCAAATTGTTGACTTTCTTACTCCATCTTTCCTTCTGTATTTTAGCAGTTGGCATCCTGCTGTTACAAGAACTTTTCCTCTTTGTGCTCATAGTCTCTGTCGTCATTAACCCATTTTCTGGTACAATAAGATATTAGATTTATCTTGTATATTCCCTCACTCAGCACCTATAGAGTGCTGATTCCTTTTAGTGGGGAATGGCCTTTAGAAACCAAGATATGGGTGCTGTGCAGTCAGCATTATTGGGATAATAGTCCTTTGTGTGTGTGTGTGTGTGTGTGTGTGTGTAAAATACTGATCCCTCCAGTTTTAAATAGGTATTGCAGCAATCTTTCTAAGGTTTTTTCCCCCCTCATTCTATATTTTTCCAAGAGCCAGAAATTGACCCCCAATATCATCGATATATTTACTTATTTGTTCAGACTTTCAGTACAGAGCAAATAGTTTTACAGTTGTTAAATAACGTCACTGGAAAAAAAAAACAACTTTGTGTTCAAGATTTGTTTGGGGGCCTTTTTTTCTCTTTAGACCAAGTATTTATAGATAAAGTACTTTGTTTAAAAGTTAATTGGCCAAGTTTTTTTTTTAATTCCCCCCAATTGATCTATTGTATTATTTATTTGAAATAAAGTTCAGTTCTCTTTTATCTTTATATTATCCTCCAGGTCCCTCCCATTTTTTGATTTGTAAAAATTGGGAAATAGAGATTAAAGATGAAACTGTAATTTATCAGTACCCTGATATGTTTTTGTTTTTATTTATTTCCTTATATTCAGACATTTTTATTAAATAGCTTTCATTTAACTCCCTAGAAATATGTAAGTACTTTTCACTGTTCTATATTTTTCATGAAATTAATTTTAATGACTGCATTATATCCTTCTGAGTAGATGTGCCACAGGAATGGAGAGATTATATGACATGGCAGAAATTGGGTGGACTTACTACATCTGGTGGTTTGAACATATTTAATAGTTTCTTGTATTTTCCTTTATATTTGAAATTCCTAAGATTTAAAAATATGCACAATAAAAAGAAAGAGCTAATGAGTATAGAATTTTAGGGTCAGATAAATTTAGTTTACCACCAAGTTCGGCAGTTGGTTTAGTTGCTTTGAGAATTGAACATTTTGCTGGGGGTAGCGGGGGTGGTCTGCCTGTGAAGGGGGCAGCTTCATAACTCCTCTGAAATGTCAGTGAAGAGCATTGGTCGCCCCCAACCCCCACCGCAGGTCTCTTCAGCTCTTCTAAGTGGTCTATTTTCTCTCTCACACCCCTGTCCCACTAGGCCTGAACAGGGCTTTCTCGCTTATTGCCCTTTCCAAACTATGATCTTCTCTTTCCAAGTCTGCCCCCGCCCAGCATTAATTTTTATGTCATCAAACTGTATACCCCCCACTATTCCTTCTTCATCCAGTCATCCACCAAGCTGTGGTTATTTGTTCCCTTTCCTTGAATATTTTGTCTCCAAGATCAGTCTCATTCCTTTGCCACTATTCTTGTCACAGTACTTACAGGTTACTGTTAGCCACTTCCAGAACGCTGGCCTCTCAGTTCCTTGGCCCCCGTGCCACCAATGACCTTGTCTTCTACTGCCTCAGTCAACCACTGACTCCCATGATAGCATATTATTACCAGTAAACAGTGAAAAAGGAAATCCATAATCACATACTCAAGCATTCAGCTCTGTAGTTAGCAATTATTTTTCCAGCTCACTTTCTCTTTTGTTCTCACTTCGATATCTCACAAGGACCTGACATCATTGCTTCAGCCACCTTTTTACTCTCCGTTACCTCCTTCATGTCCTTTTTGCCAGTCAAGGTTTTTTCCATATATTTGAAAAAGCAGAATTCTGTTTATGTCCCATTGCAAAGAAATGTGTCTCATGTCAACTTCTAGCGGCAAGGAAAACTGAAAGAATGTTGATTGTTCTAGTCATTATAGAAGAGAGGGGCAAGAGCAAATTGGGTTGGGAATGTATGATGAAGCAAGCTAGAGTGACTAGTTCAGATAAACCGGCTTAAATACATTCCTAACACAGCAACTCCAACTCCAGTTTTTGTCTTCCACTGAAGAAAGAATGCCACCATGCTGCTGAGAATAGGGCTGGTTCAGTAATAATGCCAACACACCTAGGGATTTTTAAAAAATAATTTCAGCCGTGCTCGGTGGCTCAGCCTGTAATCCCGCACCTTTGGGAGGCTGAGGTGAGTGGATTGCCTGAGCCCATGGGTTCGAGACCCGCCTGGGCAACTTGGCAAGACC